TTGGCGAGAAATGGAGCCAAAACATTGCTTCCCTTTGCAAGCTAGACTTTCTTAGGGAATGCAAGCAAAATGTGAGATAATTCTATAAAGTGCCTGCTGAATGTTCTGAATAACTTAAAACAAGTATTTGCCCGGTTATATGTGATGCATGAAATAAACCTTTAAAAGTTCTTTTAGGGCAATACCCTCATGCTCGGGGCAAATGGACGATGCATCTTGGTTTCAGAAATGAAGGTGATGCTGCAGGGTTTACACCAACTTCTCATTCTGGGATTTACGCTAACTTCTCATTCTGTGAATTGGTTGTACAAGTTACAGAGTAGGGATCATTCTGCTAGGCCTATCTATGTTCTGTATGATAATTCTAAGTAGTTTAGGGATCTGTTCCTTTTTTTTACTTTATTTCGGCAATTTGATTACCTGGAAACCTTGTCTGCTTCATATTCATCTAGTTTCTCAACAAGAACAAGCACATTGGTAAGCAAAACAAACTTTTATACTTTTCTTATGCTATGAAAACTAAATTCGCCATATGAGTATCCAACACTGTTCATTATAAATGGAATTACGAATCAGAAAACATCTCTTATGTTTATCATTTGATTTATTGTGCCCTTTGTTGAATGGGAAGGAGTAGTATAAAAAGGAGAAGATAATATGAAGCGATCAGAAGATGAAAAATGCCAATATTTTTTTCCTTAATTAACCGGCCTATTTATAACATGCCAATTTCTTGAGTCTCTTTATCATATCATATCATATCATACTCTCTTTAAAAGCGCGAGTTCGGAAAAATCTTTCAGTAGATAAAAATACCCTTGAAATTTAAATATTAATCCATTAAGTAAGAGTAAGTTGATAAATTGATGAATTCTTATTAGATATACATAGTATGAAGATAAGAATACAGTTTAAATTAAAATGTAAATCTAAATAAAATTATTAAATACCAAATTCACAAATGTCTACAAAATAAAGAGCGTATATGCAAAAACCAAACAAATTAATGAGACAAATAATGTCTGCCCCAACCGCAGACCTATAAATGTACACAGTGTGGATGAGATATTTACAAAATCCACTAAACAAATTAAAGAGACAAAAGTCATTCTCAAAATTAAGAATACTGTTTAAATTAAAATATAAATCTAAATAAAATTATTAAATACCAAATTCACAAATGTCTACAAAATAAAGGGCGTATATGTAAAAACCAAACAAGTTAATGAGACAACTAATGTCAGCCCTAAGCGCAAACCTACAAATGTACATAGTGTGGATGCGATATTTACAAAATCTACCAAACAAATTAAAGATACAAAAGTCATTCTCAAAATTATAAAAAAAATTAAGGAAAATAAAAATCATACTCCCTTTAAAAGCATTGAGTTCGGGAAAAGCTTTCCATAGTCAAAATTACCATGTGATATTTTAAATATTAAATTAATTTATAATATATCTAATCATAGTTATATTCTATCCTAATACCCAATGAACTATCTATAGCTCAATAATTTAAATAATATTAATAAAATATATGAAACAACTTCATAGTATCAGTTTATTGCATGAAGTATTACAAAAAAAAAGCGAAATTTTTTAAAAATTAGACAAAATACTCTTAAAAGTTTAAAATTACACAAAATAAAAAACTTAAATTTTAAAACTTGGCACAGAAAAGGGTAATTGTTTGATATTTTTTTTCATTAAGATATATAAATGTAACTTATAATTTAAGGTTTACTATCCTTTTTCATAATCTAAAATTAGTCAAGCTGATGTTGGTAAAAAAAGCAATAATAACAGATTAAAAGTATTCAGACAAAGAATAAAAATTTTAAAAATATATGATAAATTAAAAATTAGTTTTATTATATAAATTAAAGTAACTACATATAATTTTACCAATATATTAGAGCAGCAGAAATACATAAATATCATTAATTGATAGAAGACTAAATTGCAAAAAAAAACTAATAAAAGACTATAATATAATAGTTTAACATTAATTGATTATAATTTATAAATATTGATCTCTAATGGTAATAATATTTATAAGGTAAAAAGTTACAAAGATTTATGTATGGAGAACTATTAGAAAATTTAGAGATATCATCAAAAGGATCAAGCTGTTTTCATTTCAAATGAAATTCGAAAGAATCACTTCAATGAACACTAATATAAGTTATATTTATCAAAGAACCACCGATTGAATCCCCCCTGAAGAATATATTGAACAACTTTGTTCCAATCAAAGAAATATTCTTTATGGAAGATAAAAAAAATTACTATGTCATGACTCTGCGTAAGCAAAAAATAAAATAAAATCGCTCTTTTTCTTTTTCTTATATAGTATCACGACCATGTGTATGACTTTATTTAGGGGTATGACTACTAATGAATGATCAATTTTTTAAGACACGTTCAAAGATAATAATGTAATAGCACTATTAGATTTTAAGATTTCTAAATATGGAGGTAATATATATCATTACTAAAATTCTTATTACAGACTACTAAATATAAAATTCACCTTAATAGCTACCTCAAATTTATAGAGGAGATACGCATGTTATCGTAAATTACGTCAATAATGTATATCAACCCAAAGAGACAACTTACTGAAGAAACAAGAGAATAATAAGTAAACCAAGCAAACATCCATATAACACCGTAAAAATATTATATTTTAAAGTTAATATGCAGCACTCTTTTAGAGTAAGCTGCCAAGACAAAAGCATCTCCATTAAGCCTCTTTATAAATGTAACATAAATTCAAATTACTAATATATACAACCATTATAACATTTAAAAGATGTATGCTCTTTGAAAACCCACTCTAAAATTTATACAATTAAACCTAAGAATAATTTACCAATATACAGACACAGTAGTGCACCTTTAAGACAACGATAACTACCATTTATAATAGAGTTGAGCAGTGGTTCTATGTTTACAAAGGCTGCAACAAACAAGTGGATAGGGATGTTAATAATAAGTGTCCAAATGATAAATGTTGTAGAATCGTCGATGATGTAGTACCAAGGTTAAGTGATATCCCTTCTTCATGAAATAAATATATCAAAATTAAATATTAATATTATAATCTAAAGTAAATTGACAATGAAAAATATAATGTATTTAGTTCAGAGCCTCATAGAAAATGACACAGACAAAGCAAAGATAATATTATGACACAACAAAAATTCTTATTTGATATATAACAGAAGGATTCATTGCAGAGAAAAAAGAGGTAGCTCCTAACCTTATTTAAATAATAAATTAAAATACAAAAAAAATTATATATATGAAATTAACATTTATTCTTATTGAAATAGGAAAAAATCAAAGTCTGTATTGTCAAAATTTTGTGTTGAACATTCAACTTCTTTGTAAATTTAGACGAGAAGACAAAAGATGAATGAGCCCAAGGAAAGATAACATGCTCCAGCCTCATATCACACTCGATGTAAACGATGAAGACACTACTCTAGAATTGCACAGGAAAAAGATAAAGATGAAGAAAGATTGATATCGACTCAATAAAAAATAAAATAGAAGCAACAAAATATAATGTTTTGTGAATTGTTATAGAATAGTTTAATTTTTTAGTAAAATTAGGAATCTTTAGAAGAAATTTTCATAAACTATTTCTAGTGTTTTTATATGCATATGTGGATGCTTTTATCATATAAAATTATACTAGAGTTAGCATTAATATTTAGTTTATAATTTTTTATTAACTATTTTTGGTCATTTTAGCCCACTTTAAATTAATCATCTTGGCTCGATGACTTTATTATTCATCTTCCTTTTATAATGTTGTTTTTTCAAGTGTTTTCACTTTCATAACACTATATTTCCTCAGATCAAGCTTTGATTCATGCCGATCCAAATGAAATAAAAAATTAAATTGGATTTAGATTATGTTTATCTCCCGACAATTCAACTATCAACATAAAAATTTAAACTGGGTGTAACATATTCAAACAAACATCAAATAAATAAATAATCAAAAGTGTAATCGAGGAATAAGTTTTAGTCAGAAAATAAACTAAAAATACTTAAATTAAAGTGAGCAAAAATTATCAAAGTGTAACCGAGGAATAAATTTTAGTAAGAAAATAAACCGAAAATGCCTAATAACTATATTTAACCACGTGCATTCATAAAATCTAGTAATTGAAAAGAGATCGGTCACTTTCATACCGGGGCCGGTCCTTTATTACATTTATGAACGGTCAGTAATTGCGTTGCAGTATAGAACAACAAGCGATCCAAATTAGTCACATGCTAATTTAACAGCTTTCACGAGCCACAGGCTTCCACGGGTCTTGACTGGTATCAACCACCTTGAATATGACCTTTTAACCGGATCCACCTACCATGAAGATTTCCAAATGAGCCCAAACATAAAGCGATTCATGGAATCCTCAACCAACATATACGGGGAGGTCACAACGCGATCGGTGCAGACGTAAAGAATTAAAGACACGGTTTGTGAGCTCAGTGCGAATGACATTTGCTAATTGTGTATCGCAGACATTGCGAAACACAAACTGAAATAATCAAGACCGAAGAACAAACACCAAACAATCACATAGGAAAAACACACATGAGCGCGAGTGTTGGGGAGAAACCCCTATGCCGAGATCCAACCAAATAGCCGAGAGAGATAAAGAACCACACCAAACAATAACACAAACAATCAAACACCAGATTTTACGTGGTTTGGCGAGATGCCTACGTCCACGGGGCAGGGGGGTTCACTATTAGAAATCAAGGGGATACAACTAGGGTTACAAATCTCTCATAAACCCTCAAAAAATCAACTCTTGATCTCACCAATTGCTCCTAGAATAGAAGCCCAAAGAAAACCCTCTCAATCTGCTCAAAACCCCTTGCTTTAAACCCTAGAAACCAACCTTTGGGTATTTATAGAAAACCCAAACGAAACGGGTCTGGAAACAGAACCTGACCCGAAATCACTGCGGCGCTCGACCGTGGGGGTCGACCGCGATCCATCGTGGTCGACCGCCACGGTCGACCGCCCTCAATCCCAGAACAGCCTCAAAATCCAGAAACTTCTGCGGTCGACCGCCAACGGTCCAGACGCACAGTGAACCCTGTGCACAAATGCGGTCGACCGTCAGAATCCCGCGGTCGACCGTCAGCCTGCCAAACAGCTATTCTGAGCCATCAACTGCTGCCTCACTTGTTGCATCCAGTACGCCATGGCAACGGACTCATGACAACGGACCCCATCCACAACATGTCGAGACCCAAACGGGAGTACGAACACTCACCCCAAAACAACTGTGTCTACTCACCAAATCGGCTGCATCATAACTGACTGCCTACATATCCTTTCCAAGGAATCAAGCCTTCACGTAGTTCACTCAATGGCCTCCAAAGGCCCTCAATGCAAAAGAAAAGTCTTCAACTCTTCACCAATACCAACATCCAATGCGCGACTGATAGCATCACCAACGGCCCCATACTGAAACGATCCAAACACCTCCATCTGAGGTGAACAAATGACCATATCCAAGCTATATCCACCAGCTGCACACGGATCTACCAACTCGTCATCTGCATCCTGAACAATCTGATCCCCAAACTGTGTCACCTCAGCCGGAATCCCAACTAATGCAAAATGACCTGGAGTATGTGGAATAAGCTCCACCCGATGTGGAGTAGCATCAACCACCACCTGTTGCGGTATCCCTCTGATCTGATCAATACTCTCTACCTGCCAAGAGTCCAAAGTGACAAACCTACCCAGACCAAGCTCAGAAGCTCCTAACTGATAGCCGAATGAACTCCTGAATCCCAAATGCGCAATCGGATCCAGTCTCACATCAACGATGTGACCAAGTACTGGGTAGCCAAATATCCGACGCCGACCAAAACCTGAAGCAGTTCCACCAGATCTAACCACTCTACACGCAGCAGTCGGCAACCTCATAAGATGACCCAAACATGTCAAAGCCTGAATACCAAATCCACTGCTCGATAACCAACGCCGATCCTCCTCCAGAAAGGAACGGCCCACTAGATCCGCCATCTCATCACATTGCCCCACTGTCTCCTCTCCTCTGAAGTATCTCCAACTGCCATGAGCTCGGCACTAATGTAAGAAAGGACCCATACTAGAACTAGTACGACGGGTAACCTTTCTGCCCATACACCTCCTCCAACTGTTATGGACTACTAGGGCTTTATACCAACGGGACTTGGTTGCAACCCATAAATACCTTGTACAATCCCCAACATAGGAAACGAAATAACAATTACCTCCTGATGATGCCTCCTCGGAAGGCCCCCCGATGCCTGACTGAACACTTCCAATAAGACCCCTTGATCGGTGGGTAGAAGTGCTGAACCTCACCTCGGTCTCCTTGCCCATCCCAATGTGCTCACAGGACTTCAATCTGCAGGTCATAGCACTCCTCAACAATCTGTGCACGGCATAACCAATAATATATCCCAGCACCAAACAATGCCACAGTCTAGCCAAAGAAGTCGTCAGCGCTCTATCCACCACCATGCTCCCAAGCAAATAATACAAGTTACTCCTCCTGACGCCCTTCATAACAATCATGGACCCCAATGTGACCTTCAAGCGAGAATCCGCCAAGGTCACCCTATAGCCTGCTGCCTCCAATACCCCAAGTGAAATGATGTTCTTCCTCAGTTGAGGAACGAACCTCACATCAACCAACTCCCGAATCATCCCGTCACTCGTCCGAATACGAACGGTACCAATACCACCAATAGGACATCTGTGATCATTACCCATAAGTACAGCATCCTCTCTTTCCAACTCCCGAAAGCTGGAGAACCAATCCCTCCTAGGGCATATATGGTAAGTAGCACCCGAATCCAACATCCACTCGGTGGAGTCGACAACACCAACTGACGGAAGAGCTGGGAACGAATAGCCCGAAGAATCTGAATCTGAAATGTCACCACTAGCCTTGGTAACATTCACCTCTGAAGCTTGAATAGCTTTCCCCTTATTCTTCACAGCTTACAATTTTGGGCATTCGGCTTTCCAATGTCCATCCTCTTTACAAAAGGCACACTGATTCCTACCAACTACAGGATGCCCCCCTCTAGACTACGATCTCCTACTACGGTTTGGACTTCTAGCTCTTGCAACCAATGCCCCCGCAACCGGCTCAATGGAAGTCTCCTTGTCCTTCTTTCGAAGTTGATAATTCACAAGAGCTGCGGTGACCTCACTATACGAAAGAGATGCCTTCCCATTAATAAGAGTGAGGACGAAGGTCTCATATTCCTCGTCGGGCAAGGAACTCAATAACAACAATGCATTGTCCTCGTCTTCAACTATAACATCCACTTTCGTCAAATCTACAAGTAGCTTCGTGTAGTGGTTCATGTGATCACTAATGGATGTCCCCTTCTTCAATTGGAAGCGATAAAACCTCCTCTTCAAATACAAACGATTTTCGACGCTCTTCGTCAAATATTTGCCCTCTAGGACCTCCCAAATCTTCTTTGTCGAAGTCTCATTCATCACATCATATTTTAGATCTTGGGTAAGACAAGACTTAATCACACCACACGCCGTTCTATTCATTTTCTTCCAAACCTTATCATCAATGTCGTTCGGTTTCCCGTCCAACTCCAACGTATCTTCCAAATTTTGCGCATTTAGCGCATCCATGACTTCGCATCTCCAAAGTCCAAAATTATTTGTGCCATCGAACTTTTCCACATCTATCTTCATAGAATGGACATTCAAACTTTGGACGGTCTTCACACTAGAAGAACCCTCCCCACTTTTATCTTTCCCGGTCATATATCTCAAAGCACCCAAACAATTGCGGAACAAACAAGAAATAGATCCAACTTAAAAAAAGATAGAAACTTTACCACAAAGATCCCACCTTTATCACCAATCGAAGTTCTAGATGAACTTCCCAACTGATCTACACATCCAAAAAGCCCAAGCGTTGCCCGGAGCTCTGATACCACTTGTTGGGGGGAGAAACCTCTATGCCGAGATCCAACCAAATAGCCGAGAGAGATAAACAACCACACCAAACAATAGCACAAATAATCAAATACCAGATTTTACGTGGTTCGGCGAGATGCCTACGTCCACGGGGCAAGGAGGGGGGGTTCACTATTAGAAATCAAGGGGATACAACTAGGGTTACAAATCTCTCATAAACCCTTAACAAATCAACTCTTGATCTCTCCCAAATGCTCCAACAATAGAAGCCCACAAAATCACTCTCAATGGCTGCTAAAACCCTCTTGCACTAAGCTCTAAAACGAGTTTTGGGTATTTATAGAAATCCCAAACGAAACGGGTCTGGAAACAGACCCAACCCAAAAACCGCATCGCGGTCGACCGCCATGGTCGACCTTCGCGGTCGACCGCCGCGGTCGACCGCCACCAATCCTGACGCCTAGTAAGCCTCGTGCACGAACGCGGTCGACCGCCAACCTGTCTGCCTGCCAATGCCTGTTCCTGCCATTTCTACAGCGAGGACTTTACGGGTTCTAAGCAAGTCCTACATCCACAAGCAAAAGCAGATGGACTTTCACTAATGGAATGAGAGAATTCCCCTGATTACTGTACACCCATATGACCAAGATCTGAAGGAAGATCTTTCTTATAGGGTTAATTTTACATAGAAAGACCTTCAACAAGTCCTTGGCAGATTAGGATTCGAACTCTGGAAACAATGGCGACAATCGAAGGTAACCTTCGCAGTGTTTTCACCCGAGTGGAAAAACTGTCTGTGGAGAATGAGGATTCAGGACATGGTTTTGCATTGTGCATAATAGACCATAGTCAATAAATAACACATCATGAGGATTCAGGACATGGTCTTGCATTGTGCATACTAGACCATATATAGTCAATAAATAAAATATCCAATGGAGGGCATGTCCCAATTTCCACAAGAACGATATGAACGGATCCTTCTCAAGGTCCAAGCCGCTAAAAGAAAAAATGCTAAAAAAAGACCACGTATATATGGGAGTACTGTAGGAGCAATTAATCCTTCTCCTCTGGCGCCTATATATACAACAACAAAAGCAAGCACTCCCCAATCAACATACGCAAAGCTAACTGATCAACCCCTACAGCTATCTCCAATGGCTTCTCCTATGATAATCGATCAACCTCGTTTTATTACTGTCCTAAGTATCGATGGAGGGGGTGTGAGAGGCATCATTCCTGGAAAGTTCCTAGAGTGTCTTGAATCCCACCTCCAGGTATACATTAATCTATGTACCCACTTCGTTCAGTGTGTACGCTCATTGCTCACACTTCAATGATCAATCGTATAGTTCTATAAAAGAAAGTTTAAGACCGAACCTAAAAGCTAAACTTCTGGAATTGTTTGTTGTGCATGCCATATTAACATTCATGGTCCATACCTAGTTACATTTACCTTCTTAGAAAGTTTAGAATAACTATTAGTTCAATTGAGGATAGATCCCCTGTACTACTATCGCCCAGCTGCATACGGACCCTAGGTACGTAGTTTTATTATCGCAGGTGCCAGATATATAGGTCTACTCGGTGAATTTTTTTGACTCTTTTACTCTCAAGGAGAATATGTACTTGTCAGAAAGAAGAAAAAAATAATAATAGTCTTTTCTCTGAGCCTAAATGCGTTTCACTCAAGGGGTCAATTCACATCTCCGTGATAGTAATAGAACTGCAGGGGTGTCTATCCTCAACTGGGCGATAGAATATTAGGGTGTGTATGCGCAGGTAACCCTTTAATTTCTTTGGGTTATTTTTCATGTTCCATCTCTATTTATAATTCATTTAACTCCTTGAGATGCATGATTCTTTCCCAACAACGCGCGTTGTATATATAGTAAATATATACACTTTCCATTAATTGATATGCAGAAAATTGATGGACCGGAGGCGAGGATAGCACATTACTTCGATGTCATTGCAGGGACGAGCACTGGTGGTCTTATTACGGCAATGCTTACTGCTCCAAAGAAGGACAACCCTCAGGAGCCACTTAAGGCTGCGAAAGAGATTGTTCCTTTTTATTTTGAGCACTGCTCTAAAATATTCCCATCTAAGTGAGTTTAACAGGGTTAATTTTGAGTACATGCACTAAAATTAATACGTAAACTTTTGAAAATTGTTAAATAACTTGTCCTCTTATCTAATGGACACTCCCGTGCCGTATATAATGCACAGGAGGTATTATTAACTTGATTGAGTAAAACAAGGTCCTAAATATTTGTTTGTGTCAAGAGTAATTAATTTAATTTTTAAGAAACTACGGTTGAGGAATATATATAGCTAAATAGGTTTTGCTTTTATCTTAAGATTAAGCAGTAAGATTAATTCAAGGTTAAATAATCTACTAATTAATCAAAGGTAAATTGCAATTTAAATACCCGAAAGTTTCATCAGTTTTTAACTTTGATAATCTGAATTTTAAAATTTACCATGAGATAGGTTTACCGACTTATTAACACAACTACTATCTTACTCTGGTGATAGAATATTGTTGAGGATTCTGGTTAAAAGACAGCACATGATCATAATATGATACCTTTTTGGAACTTTATACCCCTAAATTAAAATGAAGTCCCTGAAATTCTTTCTTCCTCTTCCATCTTCTTAAACCAAAACTCACTTGCAGCAGCCCTAATTCAGGTTCTTCTTCTTCTTTTTCCCATGTCTTAGACACAAAGTACTCAAATTTGGTAATAAGAAGCTAAAAAAAGTTTATCCTTCACACCTCATAATGATGTAAAATGAAATACGGATATTTTCATTTAGAAACTGGACCGTCAAAAGCCCAGATGGGGGCCTGTGGGGGCCTGGCAGAGGAAAATGACTTGCAACGAAAAACGGGTTATATCTCTCAAACCATACGTCGGAATCAGATGAATTGTATAAAAAATCATGTATTTGTTTTCGGGATGAAGTCAACCAAACTAACTATTGTTTGGTTTGTCACCATTTGCTTCTCAAAATTCCCTCTAAATTGAGATATTAAAGTTTTTGTTAGTTTTAAGAGTTTGTTTTTTTAGGAAATTAATCTGGTTTGATTCCAAATTTGACCGACTTGTTTCGTCAATCGTAAGGAGTCTTTTAAAGATAGTTTTATTAATTTTATTTTTGATAAAATTTGGGTTCTAGTAGGAGTCTAGTTTATTTTTCTATTTAAATACAGAATTGTAAGCCCTAGAAGCATATCTTTTCATCAAAATTCCTCTTTATTATAATCTCTATGTAGATTCAAATTTCTTCGTGGATTCGAAGATCATTCTTTATAGATTCGAAGAACAATCATTGGTGGATTCTAAGGTTTATTACTTCCGCGCTGCATTACATAAGCTATTATAAAGATTGTGAAGTTTTGTTACTGTCAATTTAATTTATGGTGAAAATAATTTTCTTTTCAAATACATACACTATCACAAATTCAACATATGATAACTCAAAAAATCACACAAGTTAGCTTTTAACAAAAACTACATAACCTATTATAAAGATTGTGAAGTTTTGTTACTGTCAATTTAATTTATGGTGAAAATAATTTTCTTTTCAAATACATATATACACTATCACAAATTCAACATATGATAACTCAAAAAATCACACAAGTTAGCTTTTAACAAAAACCCTTGTTAGAAAGGATAGAGAGGGAATTCCTTATTGTAAATGAGGATATTTTGATCTTTTGGGTTCACACGTATGGCACACGACCCGTGTTCCGTAGGAAGAGTTTTGAGCCTTTTGTCTAATTAATTTTGAAAAGGTTTGATAGTTTCTTGAAAATGACTCAAACTGGGCAAGCCGCTAATTAATTGAAATTTTTTATATTATTAATGATTGTTTGGTTGCAACAATTTTTTATGGGGATAATCATGGTAACGTGTAGGGGTTATGGGCTCCACCATCTCCTTTACGAATTTTATCTTGTTCGGATGATATATAAGAAAAGGGTGTCGTTCAAAAAGATCAAGTGGCATTCTTATATCAAATATCTCCAAAATGGGGGGGATTTTGGCGGAAAAGCACCGTTGGATTAGTATTTCCACCCCATTTTACCCCACCATTCAAACAGCTAGCCCAATATTACTACTTCATTTCATGACTACCCAAAATTAATCATGTATACGTGTTCATTTTAATTTTACCGTACGTTACACATGCCGAAATCTAGTACATATACATATATAACTAGCATTTTCTTGCAGATGGTGGCCTCGTAAAATTTATGATATCCTAATGGGGCCAAGATACGATGGAAAGTATTTGAGGACCTTAGTTCAGGGGTTAGTTGGAGAAACAAAACTGGACAAATTTTCAAAACCAACCTATTTGGACTTTTATTCCCAAAAAAAGACCCGTTTCACATTTATTTAGAGAAACCGACCTGGTTTCAGCCTCAGCGCTGAAACCAGGTCGGTTTTTGAAAAAAACTCTCCGAAACTTCACGGGAGTTGAACTCCCGTGAAGTTTCGTAGTTCAAAAAACTTCACGGGAGTTCAACTCCCGTGAAGTTTCGGAGAGTTTTTTTTCAAAAACCGACCTGGTTTCAGCGCTGAGGCTGAAACCAGGTCGGTTTCTCTAAATAAATGTGAAACGGGTCTTTTTTTGGGAATAAAAGTCCAAATAGGTTGGTTTTGAAAATTTGTCATCTTTAACACGTTTTCGGTGCAACTTCTCTCCTAATCCCAATTCATATTAACTTCTTCACATTAATTACAACCTAAGTATTAGCTAACACCAACTCAAATTTGTGAGTGTAGGCTAAAAGAGAAGTTTGGAAGAATCCTCCGTTATCTGATGTTTGCCTTGCTACTTCAGCTGCTCCAACCTATTTGCCTCCTCATGGATTTGTAACTCACGACTCTGAGGGGAAGAAGCATGAATTTAACCTTGTCGATGGTGGTGTTGCAGCAAATAATCCGGTAACTAACTAAGTTAGATAACGAGATTGTGTTTGTTTTCATCAATTTACGTTAATGGACCACTGATGCTTGACTAGGTATGGCTGCTTGATTGGAAGAAATTCAAAATTACGAATTTAACATTAGTTGACATTTTTGAAAACATAATATCTATGTGGCTAATTAAACAAGGATTGGCCTGTTACAAATGTTTTTTAGTTGGTCATGAGGCAGCGGCTTCTTTGACAAAACGAGCTACCAAAAGAAAGTAATGTGATGAGGCCACCTAGAGAGAAGTAGTGAGTCAACATCTTTGTGAAGTGAATAGAAGGGCGGGCCTCACATATTATAAATTTTTTCTTAATTAGTAGCTCATTTAGCAAAATGAATTGTCACTTTCATACCCACAACACCAATTGCTTAACTTATAAATGCAGAGTTAAAATCAACATGTAGAATACCGACATAGTGTTGTCACCAGAACTTAATTATTTCCCTGTTGACATCAAAATAGGAAGGCTAGTTATGTAGCTCACCCGCTATAATGCATATATGCATATGAGCACTTAGTCAAATACTAACATCTAGGCTCATGTTAACAACACATTATCGCAGACTCTAGCTACAATGAACATCATCGCAAAGGAGACTTTGCTGACAAATGAACCCTCCATTAAAGTTCCTGATCCAAAAAACACAAGCTACCTCGTCATCTCTCTAGGAACAGGCATACGTGTGGAGGGTGATAGGTCAAAATTCACTGCAGAAGCTGCTGCCAAGTGGGGTGTTATTGGGTGGATGGTGCAGAACAATCAACCATTGATAGAAGTTTTTCAAGAATCAAGCGCAGACTTGGTAGACCTGCACATGACAACGCTATTCAATGCTATCAAAGCTCAGAACAGGTTTCTTCGCATACAGGTAAGATACACAAAAAATCCAAGAATAACGCGCACATGAACACACGCATGCACACGCACACATATAGCAAAGCATAACCTTAACTGCATTGGATGTATGTCCATCAATTTTTTTATCCATTGAATATTTGAGATTCATGTTGGTGTGTGATACACATCAAAGTTGTCTTTGAGATGTGTGTCCTGATACGTATCACACACCATCATGAATCTCAAGTCAAAGTGAAAAGATAAAAATGTTGGTGGACAGGGCATTCACTCCTCATAAATTTATTTTTAGCTTTTTTCTTCATATGTATATAAATTGTTAATTTTGAGCACACATCTCACCTTATTTGTGATGCATATAAATATATAGGGAAATATTCCAGCGGATGCAGCTGAATTGGATAACGCAAAGGAGGAAAACTTAAAAGCCCTGGAAAAAGTTGCTACGGAACTATTAGAAGAGGAGGTGTCACACAAGCATGAGGATTCGGTGATAACGTTTCTATCTGCGATCAGTGTCAATATTAAGAAAAAAACTAATAAGGACGTTCTGTATGAGTTTGCATTATTGTTGTCTAAGGAGAAAAAACTCAGACAAGCTTCCAAGGCAAAAAAGTGATGGCGTAGTTCAAGTATAATTATACGATCATCAATAATGGTTATGATCATGATGATATCAAGATGATGGTTGTATAATTGTATTATTAGTATCATATATATACATAATATATAATAAGGAGAAATGGATTTCTCCATAATGTAAGAATAAGCTCATATGTGAAGTTATCTCACGTGTTAATGAAGTTAGCCTTCGAATTCTCTATAGAGTTTCTCCAGAATGTTAGTGAAAGCCATTCTGCTTTCTGTTGTTCTTGTACACTGCATACATATTGTTGACATATTTATATTATGCAAGGGGTTATTTGTAAGATGTGTTTTGTAGGGCTTATATAAGCCCATGTTATTTTATCAATGAGATTAGGGTTTTAATTTCAATTTGGTATCAGAGCCCC